TATATATAAATCCATGTATGTACTTTATTGGCAACGATATATATTGCATTAATTGATATAAAACAAAATAAGCTACGTGCTGAAAATCTAAGTTACTGGAGAAAAGGATAGTAGGAAATTCGTAATAGGATAATAGGATGTGGATTAGTTATGTTAATATTAAAGGGAAAACAAGAAACAATTCTGTTACATCAAACAAGCTCATATTGATGCAATTAGTACTTTATCTCAATTTCACTGATTTATAAATACTCCTTAAACTGTCACCTACCAGTTTACTAAACTTCTCAATCGTGTCGGTATATGCCATTCAGTTTTGCGCATTATTTGGTTGTTGTTCAGTACTAATTAATAGATTTTTTTATTCATCCAGTACGAAGAACGGGTATCCAACTAGTTTTCATATAAAACTCTAGCTTCGACAACCAGTTTAAGAGTTATTCATTATTGCGCAAGTTTTTTTTTAAAAAAATTTCTATTATTATTTTAGTCATGTTTTTAAAGATAACTGCATTTATTCAGAAAGGTCACAGTTTCTTCTAGAAACAAACACAGAGTATTTTTAGCTTTATTCCAGATAAATTTAATATGCATAACACGCATGTGTGATTTGATAATTAGAAAAGGATGTTGCTATTGGTTAAATTTTTTTTGTTGACTTTTGGAGGAATCGATATTAAAGCTAATATCGTAAGGAATATTTTCATAATTATAAGAAGAAAAATGCGTCTTATTTTAGTAATAATGAAACGTCATATTTTTGCAATAATAAGACGTTATATAAAATTAATAAACGTTGCCAATTTAGGAAATTTTAATATGCGAAACACAAATATGAAAAAGTAATTTCAAGTAAACGTTTTTGCACATTTTAATTTATTATTTACTTCAACGCTTTAAAAGAATTTATTAAATTGTTTTCTCCTTTTCGAGAAGACGTTGTGGTAATGTGAATTTAGGAATGCGTTCTTAATAAACAAAAACAATAATACATTCCTTTTTAACTTTTTAGCTGAGAAATAATGTCTTCCGAAACTGAAGATTACTTTTCCTCTTGCTGTAAGTGTTAAAATAACTTTTCTGATAAATCTTTCAGATGTTTTTAGTTTTTTTCTTCTTTTACTTTTCTTTGAGAAGTTCGTTTTACGTTTGCCAAAACTGCTTTAAAATTCTCATATAGAACTAAATTCTTTAAAAGAAAAATCTGGCGCGTTCTCTGCGAGTATTTTGTTATTTGATTTATTTTACAATGCCTGCTCTATACTATTCTTTTTAGATTTATATTCATTTATGTTCATATTTTTGTCATGAAATAAAACAGAAGATTTATGTATCCCGTGTTTTCGTACTTCAAAGTCTAAAAAACATCAAATATGGAATGATAAATAAATTTATATACTATAACTTTTTGGTTCGACTTTTGGAAATTCCCAAATACAAATATAGAACTGTTTTGTGTAGTCTCAAACGGTTTCCTACTTTTGAAAATCATACTAAATGAAGATGATAATATGTTATTTGTCATAGATTTATTAATTGCAAATCATGTAAAATTAAAATTATTATCAATTTTAAATGAATATATTTATTATGCGTTAAAATATTCCTAAAATCTCTCTAGCGAAGTAATCTAATGCATTGTAGTGTACTTCAAAATTGCTACAACTTTATTATCCTGCAGACGTATCCACAATATTGCAATACAATCCGAACGAAAACATGATTTAATATATATATATATATATATTTGATGCAATAATTACGAGCAAAAATGTATTTTATTTTTTAATCATAAAAAAAGGCTAATAGTTACTAAAAAAATCTGTTACATTATCAGAATTGTATTTGTCCTAAAATATAAAACCCAAATTTGTTCAATTAAAAGATTCTAAAAATATTTAAAAAATATTCTGAAATTAAAATTTAAAATTTTTAAATAAAATGTATTTGGTTTGAAATGTTTTGTTTATNATCTAATGCATTGTAGTGTACTTCAAAATTGCTACAACTTTATTCTCCTGCAGACGTATAAACAATATTGCAATATTGCAATACAATCCGAACGAAAACATGATTTATATATATATATATATATATTTTATGCAATAATTACGAGCAAAAATGTAATTTGGTATTTTTTAATCATAAAAAAAGGCTAATAGTTACTAAAAAATCTGCTAGGTCATCAGAATTGTATTTGTCCTAAAATATAAAACCCAAATTTGTTCTATTAAAAGATTCTAAAAGTATTTAAAAAATATTCTGAAATTAAAATTTAAAATTTTTAAATAAAATGTATTACGTTTGAAATGTTTTGTTTATTTAAAATATTCAAAAGTTTATCAATAATTGTTTTTATAAATTTCAATGATGAATAACTGCTTTTCTTAAACCTAAATAACTGCAAATTTAAAAAATAAATATATTGTTTGGAAATAAATATATTGTGAAACATGTTTGGTCATGTAACTCAAAAAAGTCACCGGTGTCTCATGCTGTATTTCATAATCATAAGTTATTAAAATGCTAAATATAGCATTTTTCATTTTGACCTAAATATAATGCAAAATAATAAAAAAAAAGTTCGAAAAATATGCTGAATAGAAATTCTGCATCTAAGGGTTAAACCACCTTGAAAACAGTGGTTTAACAACAGTAACCGTATTCTATGAGTAACCGTACACTATAATTGGAACCTTGAGCCTACTTTTCGGAGATAGAAAATACGTAATACAACTCTTAACTTTTACATTTTCATATCTATAGTTTTTTTTACCATATTTTTCTTATTTTAAACTACGCTATATGAATTTAGTGTGTCCAAGATATTCAATTTTTCAATAGTTTGCGTAAGGTCTGCGTCACAAAACTCATTCGTTAAAAAAGTCTCATAAAAATTATTCACAATTCTGTGATAAAGAGAATTGTATTTTTTTAGTTTTTACTTTCAAGAATTGAATGCCCATATAGCTATTTAAAAGAATAGTATATTGATTGTAGGTAAAAAAGGGAAAAACAATATTTTTTTTTCTCATCCTACTGCGAAGAAATCTTCATCACAATATAGATAAGCTGGCTTAAGTTCCTTACATTATCATTGATTGAAAGTATCGGTTGTCCCTAAATCGATGTGTTAACCATCACACACATATATTTTCTACATCTTTACAGAAAGAAAAGTAATCTAACTCTGTTTTTGTAAGTAGTATTTTTTTGTGTCAGTAATTTTCCTTCGTTGTCAAGGTTGTATCCCTAAATATTCTGTTAATAATATTCAATAAATAACAAATACTTATATAAACTGATGTTAATTTACTGTACTCTGAATGGAACTCTACTTGTTTGTGTACTTGAATAAAAATATCCCTTACAAAAATATTAGGTGTTTTTAAGGTTGCTTTTAATGCTAAGGTTGATTTGAGATTCATTTGAAATTGACTTTGAAAGCTATCTTAAAAAGTCAACCTCCCAAGGTTTATAATCAAGGTGTATGAAGTTGTTTTATTCTCATTTTAGTTTGTCCATAGGTTGATATAAATCCTACCTGAGAGCAATCAGCTTAGAGAGGTTGATTTTTTATTTGAACAAGTTATTTTTTTATCTGCACTTTGAGCGAATTAGTATGTTTGAAGTGATAACAATTTTACCAAATTTCAACTAAATGTATTGCTAAGCTGTATATGAGGTTGATTTTATGAAGTATAAATGAGGTTGGAGTGCAGGTTTAATGATAAGGTTATTTTTGGTGCAAGCGCAACAGCATTTTCAACTTCAAGTGTATTTTTTACTCATATCAACCCCAAAACAATCTCAAAATCCGCTTATTTATTTATAAAGGATATGGCAGTATTCTCGAATTTTAAAAATATTCCTTTAATGAACTAATACCAATAAATGTTTACAAATAATTAATGATTAAAATAAATGTAAATTAATTAGAATAGTTAAAAATTTGATTAAAAGAATTATTTTGGGTAATTTAAACTAAGAGAATGCCCCAGTCTCATTCAAATTTCACTGCAACTGTCTAACCCTTCGAAGAAATTTTATTCAACATTTTTTTCATACTTTTTTTACTATTTTTAATTCATTTAGATCAAATTAAGTGAATAATATTACATTTAGTATTTTAATAATTTATGGTTATGAAATGGAGCATGAACACCGATGTCTTTTGTGCATCAAAGATAAAATCTTCCTCACATGGTTCACTTCCATGCAATGGTTTTTCAAACTTGCACTTAATTGCAGTTATTTAGATCTAAGTAAAAAGGCTATTCATCACTGAAATCAGGTTAATTTACAAAAAGAAAATTCTTCAAAACTTTTTGAATCTGAATGGGAAAAAAACCTGCTACTTTTTCGGGATTTTACTTTTTAGTACAAATATAATTCAGATGATCTATCATAGTTTTTTAGTAACTTTTAAACCATGATTTTAGAATTAAAAAATATTAAAATATATTTTTGCTCGTAATTATAGCGTCAGAGAAAAAAATATATAAATAAAAGGGACACCAGCGTCCTATCTGCGTAAAAAGGTTAAAGAGTAATAAATGCAAATTTGTAATAATATCTGAAAAACTGACAAATGTTTTACATTAGAGTACTTATATAACATTTTTTATGACTTTCCTAAACTTTAAAATTGAAAACAGTAAAAGCACTTAAAATTAAGCGTCATTTAAACCTGATATTTAATTAAAAAAGTTCTGAAAAATTTAGTAATGTTAAAGATATTCTACGATCAAGAATAAATTTTAAAAAAAACTATCGAGGAAGCGAAATTCATAAATTTAAATTCGAATCCAAGATGGTGAAAGAATAAGTAATTTAAAGAATACTAGGGGGCTCCGCCCCCTGCTCGCTACGATCGCCAACCCCCAGAACTGCTTCGCAGTTCCATTGCATATTGCTTCGCAATCTTATAAAAACATTTTAACAAATTTAAATTTTAAAATAAAAATGCCAGATATTGAAATCAATTACTTAATGAAATTTATACACTTCTCTGCCCCCTTCACAATTTGATTATCTTTTCTTCATGTAGCTGAGAAATTTGGAGCTGTAGCAGAGAATATATCTCAATAAGAAATGCTTTCCCGTTTAGAATTCCGCCATTCATTTCTCTGACGTCTGCCAGAGATATTTCGACGCCTGATAGCAGGCATTTTATTTAGGCAGCAGGCACTAAATAAATAAAAATAGAACTAAATAACTAAGATATCGTTTTAAATCTCAAATCAAAATAATTGTTTGTAGAAAGTTTGTTTTGGTTTGAATATTCGCACGTTTGTTTTGGTTTGAATATTCGCACGATGCCATTGCCATTCTATTGTAACGAAACAAAAAATTTATCATGAAACTAAAAATTTATCAAAGGAACTAAAGATATTG